AATCAATTAATTTTTTAATGGTCAAAAGACCAACAGGGAGATGAAACACTTCTCCACACAGGACACACTGAAAGCAGGAAAGGCTCCAGTTTGAGGCAGATGTCACAGGCCAGAAAGGAGGTATTGGAACAACTTGGACAAGTTTTGCCATTCCAGTATAAATTATAACCTGGTCTACTGCCTGCTGCTTCTGCTAGCTTAGGATCCAGATTAATTCAGTGTTTCTTTTTTCTTATATAGACAGGCCAAATCTCTCAACCAATTCCAACAGCAGAGCACAGTTCACGCTGTTGATGGCAGAACCAAGCTCTACCCAGAAAATATTCTTTCTAAAACCAATTTTGCACTGATGTGGAGAATGCACTCCCATGTGAGCCCAGTTCCTCAGTGTAATCTGATGCTACAAAGGACAGCACAAGAAGGACAGAGAGGGAGGATCTTTTCCAAGGAAGGAGCCACTGGAGTGGAGAATCAGAGCTGAAGTCAAATTTAGGGTGAGACAAAACCACGAAATTAGCAGCAGAACAGGCCAGTGGGTTTCCCTCTGTCCCCCTCCTTCCTTTCCCACACAGTTCTTGGTGAAACAGGGAGAAAAATGTAGAAAAGGTGTTGAGGGATGACAGAACTATCACAGAACCATTTAGGCTGGAAATGCCCCCTAGGACTGAGCCCAGCCACTAAGCCAGCACTGTTCTGGTACTCCAGGTAAAAGTGACAGCAGAATTTAGGCTCAGCCTCCATCAATCTGCTGGGATGCACGAGAAAAAGGAAATATTTCTGGTTTAACAGACACAGGACACTGTCCTCCAGCTGGTGCTTTAGACAAAATATGTCCTGCAAGTTTAATGGTGCTGAAGAGCCAAAAGTACAACACAAACACAGCTTAACCAATGCAAAATTTGCTTCAAAAGACAAAATTGCCGAAGCAATTTCAAACATTTTTCCGAAGCAAATGCTGCTCAGACAGACAAATCTGGTTCTGACATGCTCCCCAAAAATAGCCATGTCAGACTCAGAATTTACATCTACATAAAGAAGGTTAATGAACCAGGCAAATTGTACTGCACAGGAAACAAATGCCAAATATTGCTCTTAGCTTTTTCTTGTGAGTCAGTGGCTGCTCTGGGAATGGGGGCACTGAAATAAATAGTAGCACATCCTCAGTGCAGTTGGAACATTCCAAAATGCCACAGAGCTGTCAGTCTGCATGTCAGAATCAATGTGAAAGCTTGTCAGGAGAAAAAGCAGGGGCGATTTGGGGCCTGAAATAGTCACCAGCTTCTGGGGTTTATTGGTAGTAATGGAAGCAAGGCCACCTCAGGATTGTAAATCTGGCTCTTTGTTCAGAACTGTGCTGAGGTAATTTCCTTTCCATGTGAAATCGTAAGAGATACATATTTATTCCTGTCTGAAAAAGAAATACTCTAGTCAGAAGTGACAAGACAATTCAGATTATCTGAGGATGTTCAGGGCTCCAATCCAAGACTAAATTTGGAGGCATTAACAAGGTGAGGGGTTTGAGAGAGCAGGAGAATTTTGACCGATATTGACAAAAACTCAGCAACGCAGATCCTTTGCAGGATCCCAGAATTCCCAGGGCAAACCCTGAGGGTCCAAGCTGGGGATTTCAAGGAATTCCCATAAATTAGAGCTGAAGGTCCTTGACAGACTGCCAAAGGTCCAGCTGCACATGTCCTGAATGAGAAACCTGCCAGTGACCACCATGGTCTCTCAGCTGGAGCCTCAGTGTGAATTAATCCTGACTTCCCTCCTCTTAGCCATGTCCTGGCCCATCTCAGGTGCTTTTCTCCTGTCACAAAGCTGCTTTTCAGCCCTGGTCACAAAGAAGACACAGAGATAGGGAAGGCTGTGCTGAAAATGCAAGCATGAACACAATTAAATACAAATTGCACTTTGTTCCCATTTTCCTTCGCCTGCTGGTTTTCACCTGGGCCTCATCACCTCACACCTGGATACAAAACTGTCTGTGGGTGTTAATTACACCTGCTCTTAATTAAATATTGTTAAATTAAATTAAATATGAAACTGTTAATGCTCTGATTCCCAGATATTCAATGAGGAACCTCACAACCACTGTCCCCCCCACAGTGGGGACATTTTAGTTGTGCAGACTGGCTGTTCTGAGATAAATATTGGGCAGGGTTCAGACAGAGCAAGAATAAAGTGAAGGAAAAAAAAAAAAAGTCAAATTTGAATTTGACTTTCCAGGTTCATGTAATCTGACCTGAGCAACAAACCCAGACATGAAATTTATGGGAGGCCTTTCCCACAGGATGTCATGGTTTTCCCTCACACCACGCGTTATTCCCCATAATTTAAACATCTATACCAGTCTCACTGGCAGCTCAGGGCAGTTCAGCCTGAAGCTTTATGGATATTTAAGAAAGAAATTTCATTATATCCTCTTGTAAAGACTCACTGCATTCTTTGCATCATGATTCAGATCCAAGGAAACCTCTCCTGACCCTCTGTCTTTCAGCTTTGTGGACAAACCGATTTTGTGTTGGCATGTGCTGCCATCTAATGATATGGAAACCAAAACTTTGGAAGAAAAAACCCTCAGAATGGCATTTTAAAAAAGCCCACCCAGCTGCAGAAGGGATTTATAAATTTTATCACCCGAAACGGGGAAGGACAAATCCATGTGGGAAAAGAAGAGGGAAGAGCTGGGTGTGAGGTGGGGATTGGATCCAAAGCCAGGTTCAGACTGCTTCTAACCAAAAGGTGTCCCCAGAGCACCGCAGAAATTCTGTGCAAAGGTTGAGGAGCACCTGCAGCCCGGGGCTGAGGCTGCCCTGCACCTGCACTCTGCCCCAGCAGCACAGGAGCCTTCCCCAGGGAGCTGCTGCCTCCCTGCCCTGCACAGCAAATGCAGCACAGAAAGCTTCCTACAGTTTCTGTTCTAAAATGGAACTTGCAGCTGGGAGAAATCTGATTTTTGTGTCAGATTTCACTCCCTATATCCTTGATGAGAAGAAATAATCCGTCTCGGATAATTCCACGTAAAGGCAGAGTGGCGGCTGCTGCAGGAAGCAGAATTGCAGTGTGCACAGTTCCCTGAGTCTGAGGGTTCCTCAGACAGTCCTATCAGCCCATGAAATATCCACATTTATTTAGTAACAAACCCAGAGAAGTAGAACCACATTTCCTGCCCCCAGTGCTGCCTCCTCCCTCCCTCCTGCCCGCAGATTCCTTCCCAAAACAGAGCTCACAACACAGCTTCCCATTGATTGGATCATTTCACACAAAACCCCCAAACTCTATAAAAATACAGGTAAATTGAACTCCTTCAGCTGGATAGATAAAGATTTATTTCACCTAGCTACAACAACTCAAAGGACACTTATCAGGCCAGAGAGGCACAATAGGGTTAGTCCAGACTATGTGTTACATTCCCAACAAAAACACACTTGGCTTTGTCAATATCTCCTGAAAAAAAAAAACAACCCTTTAATTCCAACAATTTTAAAATTTAAACCACTTTACTTGAATTAGTCAAATAATTAGGATTTTTTTAAATTAGTAACAGCACTGGAATACACAGAGCAGGTTTGCAATTCAACCTGCAGGGGTGGGGTGGATAAAACAGGGGTTTGAGGAGGCTGAGCTTGCCAAGCGTGGGAATAATTGAGGAAAAACTTGCACATTCTGTGAATCTAAAACCCACAAAAAAATTTGCCAATTCAAATCACAAAAAGGCCTCTGAGAAACCGATGAACAAAACCACAAACTCCAGAAGTAACAACACTAGAAAATTAGCTGAAAAATCAAACTGCCACCCCTCCTTGCTGTGTGCTCAAAGGAAGGAGAGACCACAGCTCTCCCACAGTTCCTCCTTCCAGCTTCTTCCCAAAAATTCAACCTCTTCCTGCCTTCTCTCCCTGTCACTTCATCCTCCTTCCCCAGTCACGGTCATTGTGTGCAGCCAAATTATTTTAATTAATGCAATTAGCTAATAGCCTCCAACAGCCCTTTCCCCTTCTGCTCCAGCAGCAGAGGCTGCACTGGCAGCTGAACATGTTGAAGGGGAGGCTCAGATGTAGAGAAGGGCAAGGAAAAAAGTGGTACCTACAGGAGGTGGGAGAGGAGGAATCTGTGCCCCAGGAACCCAAAAAAGTTTCCTGTGAAGTCTCAGGAAAGAGCTTGGCAAACAAGCAGAGACTTCTAAGCACAACCTGGGCTGGTTTGCTGGAAATGAGATCTAAAAATAAGCAGGAAAAATTGAAAGCTGATTTAAGTGCCACTTGTATCACATCATGCCTTCATCCCTGCAAACAGCACACAGAGGTTCCTTGTTCCTGTTTTATCTTAATGGCCTATTCTGCTCTTATTTCTGTCTTCTGAGCTGGTCCCGAGTTCTTTGGCTTGTGATTTTTTTGCCTGCATTTCAACTCTGGCAAAAAAAGCTGGGAAAGGAAACCAAAGCACCAAAAACCAGCAAGCTGATAAAGCCCAGAATAATTCCTGGGGAGGTTTCTGTTGGAGTTTGCACATTTGTTCTTCTGGGTGTCTCCAGAGCAGGCAGAGCTCTTGCTGCTCCAGCCACAGAGGGCTGTGAGCACAAACACAGCCCTGACCCCCCTGTCACGAGTGAATAACCCACAGAAAGCTTGTCCTTGTCAGGGAAATCAATCCACAAACACCAGAGGTTTATGTCCAAAAAGGAGGCAGAGGAGTCCTCTTTATTGAATAAAGGGAGAGGCCATGGGGCATTTCCTGTGGGGTCTCTCAGATTTTTAGAGGACACAGCCTCCTTTTTATCCTAATTCCCCAGCCACGTTTCCCTCTCCCTTTCCCCACTGCCTGAGGTGCTTGAGAAGTACAGGCTCCCCAAACCACCTAAATACAGACCCCCTTCTAATGCATACCCCCATTTTTTCTTTTCCCATGGAATTTCTGGTTCCTCCCATTGCTTCTGCCATCCCTCAGCACCTAGCTTCATCCACCAGCAGACCCCCAGTTTGCTTGTGAAGACAAACCTGTCCTGGCTTCCATTGTGAGTCCTGGTGAGGGCACAGGGGCCGTGGCTTGGCCGTGCCCCCCTCCCTGCCCCGCTGGGTGTGTGGGTGCCAGGGCTGGGACACCAGGGCTCAGCAGTCCCACGTCACTGCTGCTGCTGCCAAAATTAGCCCTGGCCTGGAGCTGCCTGCCCAAATAGCTGCTGTTTGCTCTTCTGAGCATGGCATGCCTCCACTGCAGACAGTTTCCAGCCCTTTGGGAAGAGGGAGGGATGATTCATCCGTGAGGAGCAGGGGAAGGAAGGGGGTGTCGGCAGCCCCCGATCTCAGAGCTCCTCAGATGTTTTACAACAGTGTTGAAGAAAAGCTGCTGTGCCTCTTCCAGAGTGGGATGGAGAGGGGATTGAGGGGCTGGATTAACCAGCACACTCCGGTATTTTGTCATTAACCATTGCTAGCAAGGAATTCTCGACTATCCTTTTTTAATTGGAATGCCACAAGGACTCCCTAATTCTAAAAGCCATGGAGCTGATCACAGCCTGGAAGGAGCCTCTCCATCAGCTGACAGAAACATCTTGGGAGAAACAGGGGCCTGGCTCTGGCTTCTGGCACACAGTAAAACAGAAGCACCCAGGAGAGGCACAGTCAGAGAGGAGTGGAAAGGTTTTGTCAAAATCCATAGCACATTTTCCTTATTAGAGCCAGGCTTGGGTAGTCAAGATGAGAAAAAGCCTTTAAGAAAAGAATTTCATTTCCTGTGTTGCAGGCTGCCGTATAAGAGAGTGCCTCAGGGGGAAAGAGCAGATTTTTTCATGAGTGTGTTGTGCCACTGTCCCAGGTGCTGCAAGCCCTGTCCAGCCTGGCCTTGGGCACTGCCAGGGATCCAGGGGCAGCCACAGCTGCTCTGGGCACCTGTGCCAGGGCCTGCCCACCCTCACAGGAAGCAATCTATTCCCAAAACCCCATCTAACCCTGTCCTCTGGCACTGGGAGCCATTCCCTGTGTCCTGTCCCTCCATCCCTTGTCCCCTGTCCCTCTCCAGCTCTCCTGGAGCCCCTTTAGGCCCTGGAAGGGGCTCTGAGCTCTCCCTGGAGCCTTCCCCAGCTGAGCATCCCCAGCTCCCCCAGCCTGGCTCCAAAGCAGAGGGGTCGGGCCCTTTCATTAATTTCGTGGCCTCCTTTTGACTTATTCCAACAGCTCCACATCCTTGTTATGCTGGAGGCCCCAGAGCTGAATGCTCCAGGCACCCAGAAGAGCATAAAAGCACAAAAATCAGAGCACAAAAGATCATCAGAGGGGGCTGGGAGTGAAACCGTGGCTGGGAGGTCATTTCAATTCAGCAGCTGGAATTGAATTGAAGATGCAGTTCCCCTCCCTGTGGCATCTCCCTCCAGCAGCAGCTTCTGTCTGGACAGGGAGCTGGAGGCACTGGGAGCTTGGGTTGGGCAGGGTTTTCATCCCCAGCAGTTCCCAAAGCCACTCCCTTCATGGCCCTGACACAAAACCAGCAAAACCAGCCATGGGTGTGAGGGAAGGGGCAGCAGCAGGAGAGTGGTGGCTAGTCTGCATTTTATTTATATTTATGGGATTTATATCATTTATATTTATAATCTTTATTTATATTGCATATTTACATTTACTTATGTTTTATATTTATATCTATGTTGATTTATATCTATACCTTATATAGATATTTAGATTTTTATATTTAATAACATGAAGTTGTGACCCCAGGGAACTTCAGTTTCTGTCAGCCACAGATTTGCTGCATGACCTCAAACAAGTTTCTAAACCTCCTCTTGTTTTTCAGTTCCCCACTTCACATCAAGGGACACTTGTCTGCTCTACCAGGGTAGCTGTGATTATTTAATTCATTGGGGGAGTGTCGTGTAAAGTACATCCATATAAACTAAAATACACAGAATGGGGTTTTCCCATTTCCTTTAATTTCTGAGAACAAAGTAAGTAAACGAAATCTTGTGCCCTTCAAAACCAAAGGGAACCTTTCTTTGTATAAAATGTTGCATAAACCTTAGTGGTTGTTCGTTTTTATTGTATTATTTTTAATAATTCTGCAAATACTTCAGAAAAGGGCAGTTTGTTCCTACTGCATAAAAAAAAAGTCATCACCATAGAGCTGGGTTTTTTTTACATTTCTCCCTTATATAGTTTAAAAAAAAAAAAACAAAGAAGAACAATTAGGAAATTTACCCTCCCACTTCCCTCCCCACAAAAAGAAAAGAAAAAACAACAAAAAACCTGTTTGTTTTTTTTTTTAAATCAGTAAAGTGTTAAACAAGTCAGCTATCAGGAGCACACAGAGCACAGGATATCAGTAACACGGGGGATGCTTTAGACCATGGCAGGACCAGGTGAAATGTTCCCAGCAGCTCCTGGACACAGCACAGCTCTCCTGCAGGGGCTTGGATGAGGACAGAGCTCCAAAGGACTCAGCCAAGCCCCAGGACACACATTTTTCTCCTACAACAAAGTTTATCCCAATCCCAGTGATACAATCCCTCTCCAGGCCTGGATCTCAAGGACACCTCAGTGCCCCAGGCCCCAAAAAGTCTGACCAAAAGTGAGTTGTGGGGAGCAAACTGGGGCTGAATGACTTCATTGCCTGCAGCTGGAATTGGAGGATGAAGCCCAGTCTGGAACTGGAGCAAACTGGTAATTGTGTGAGAAACTGGTGCCCATTGTCTGTGCTGGCTGCAGCCTCTGGGAGGCTTTGGCTGCCCGAGGTGTGCCTGGGGAAGGCCTTCAATAAATGCCCACTTTATTCCCTTCCAGGGGACGTTTTCTGTCCCATCTGGGGCACCACAAACCCCGAGGCAGCAGCAAGGGCTGCCCTGGCCCCTCTGGGGTCACTTTGTGCCCGTGGATGGCTCCAGGAGCAGGGGCTGCGCCTCATGGCATTTCCTCAGGATCCTCATTGCCGAGGGGATGACACTGAGATCCAGGCCAAGAGCAACCTGAAGGCTCTCAGGAGTCCTGAGATCCAGGCCAAGCACAACCTGAAGGTGCATCTCCCTCCACTGATCCAAAAATATCTTGGCATTCTCCCTGGGAGGGACCAGAGCCCACCCCAAGGTCCGCGTGTGGCTCTGGGGCCTTGGTTCTGCGGCCTGGGTGAGTGGAGAGAAAGCCCAGGAAGGGACATTGGGTCCCAAACATTCCTGACTTGTTGGGACTTCCAAAAATGTGAATTCCTAGATTTGGGGGTGTGAATGTCAATTCAGTTTTTGCATTGTATATAAATCAACCTGTGGTTTCCATTCTGGGAACATTTCTCTCCCTGTATGGTTTTCCTATGGGACTGAGTTTTGGCTCTGAGGGAGGCCAGCAGGCACAAAATGATGGTTCTGTGCCTTCCTAAATCCAGGTTTCTTTTAAATATCCTGCCCCAAGCACCTCCCAAGGGAGATGTGCAAACAGGATTTAAAGGATTTGAAGTCCTCTGCTAGGCTTCCACCTTGCCACACACAAAATAAACCCCTACAAATAAGGTAAAGTGAAAATGAAATGGCTCTATTAGATTTAATGAAGTGACTCGAGACAAAGCAGTTCCATAAAAATGCTTTTTTTAAGAAGTAACAGCAAGAGCTTAGAGAAGTGCTGACTGCAGGTACAGTTCTAGCCAATATTAAAGTATAATTAGTGATTTCTAGGGAAATATTTCCTTGGGAGAAGGTCAGGAGCTGTTTCTGTTGCTAACAACTCCAGGTGCTGTGTCTGAGCTCCAGTGGGTTGGAGTTGCAGAGAAGGCAGCAGGTGTTATGACATTTCTTCTGGGCTGTCTCTTGTCTCTCCCCAAAAATCCTGTGCAGTGCAGGATGATGTTCCTCCACAGGTTCCTCACACAACCATCAAATAACAAAAACAAGCCAAGAAAAAAAAATTGTCCAGAACAAATAATAGTGTTTGGAATATTATCAGGTAAAAATAAAAAAACCCACATCCTAAGACACAGTTTAGGGGTTTTGCTACTGGGGCATCTGCACACCTCCTGGAACAACCATCCAGCAGCTGGATCCACGTACAAAATCAGCTTTAAAGCCCGGCAGTCAGTCCAGACCAAGGCCTGACAGGACAGAACCAGCGCTGCTGCCTCTGTGACACCGAGGGTCACAGCAGCCCTGCATGAATCCCTTGCCCTGCACCACACAGAAATGACCTCCTGGGACTCCTGCAGAGAGAAAGGACATTACCCCAACCTTCTGCTAAAGAAATTCCTCCTCTGGCTTCAGTCCAAGCCTCGATCCCATCCAGGGCACAGGAATCAGTGCCTGATCTGAGGGGACCTGGAAGGGACCTTGAAGAGGAATCAGAACACCCTGAGTTGGAAGGATCATCCAGTCCAACTCCTGGCCCTGCACAGGACAGCCCAAAACCCCAGCCTGTGCCAGCAGAGGAGCTGTGTAGTGCTACACATCGGCATTGTAGGATCCTGGATTCCTTTGGAGGGGAATGAGTTGTTGTACAGACACAGAGAGCCCTAAACTTTTCCCCTCAGAACTTCTCCAGCTCTGTGAAATAACCTTGGTCTCCTGTTGAAGGAGCACAGACAAACACGGGTCACTCCTGGGGGTGGGAAGTGCCAGCCAGAATTCAGGAGCAGCCGCCCAGGGAGGAAGATGCAAAGGTTTGGGAGGTCTCCTGAGGAGCACATCCTGTCAAAGACCAGGAACTTACAGCAGCAAAATTCAGAGCCCTTCAGAACCAGCCTCTGTCCAATCTCCAGGAAAACAGTGGCTCGGGATGGGCTCATTCCACATTTCCAACCCTGATGAAGCCAGTGGAGGGTGGAGAGAAGGAGGTGGGAGCAGCTGAGGCACCGTCAGCATCACCAAACTCACCCTGAAAGGAGAATTCTTCCCAAGCAAACCATAGGACAGGCAGGTGCCTTTTATATACACACATGGACAGCTGAAATGGTCTGAAATGCTTACAGGTTAGAAGGTCTATACAACATTACACCTGCCACAAATCAAAGTAGAAAAGTTTTACAGCACATTATACAGGTCCCTCTAAAGTCTAAAAAAAAACCAAACATTGACTGGAATCACCATATTACAAGAAGTCATCACTAACAGACAATATAATACTATTTCTTTTTCTTTTACAGAATCATTACAGATAGAGTAATTTAAAAAAATCACTTTTTAAACAAGTATACAATTTTCACTTTAAAATTAACTGGTTAATAAAATTCTGTGCAAAACAAGCCAGCCTCTATAATTAAGTGAATTTATTTATTTCTTTATACAAAAAAAAAAAAAATAAAACAACAAAAAAAAAAGTTCTTTCAGAAATGTGTTTCCTTTTCTGTGATGGTGGAAATGGTGCCATCTCCTTTCAGTTTGGCATCGCAGTCATTTATTGCTGCAATGTAGGCTCCTCCTCCGAGCTTGCCCCGCATTTTCAGGTCTGAGCTAGGTGTAATCAACTTCCTGAATTTCTAGAAAATTGGAGAAATTGGAAATTGAATCATTAAAATTAAAATCATTACGTTTGTCTTGGTCACAGACACACCTCTCTTTAACAGATCGATTATAAAAGGCTTTTCTCCTGCACATCTGCTTCTCATTTATTCCCCTGTTGTGGAAACACCCTCAGACCTACAGGCTGCACAATTCTGGGAAAATCCCACTGGACCAAAGAAGGCAGAGCGAAAATTTTATTTCCAAAAACCAAAGTGAATTTTTATGCTGATTTAATCACCCCCTTTCATGAAGACACTCAGCATTGTGTCTGTTCTACAGGTACATTTTGTTTCTCATTTTATCATCAATGATATTCACTGGAAAAAACAAATAAACCAGTGACAGCCAAGGTGTATTAAGGTGTGATAAAGAAAAATATCCTTTCTCTTTTCTTTGAGCAATGACATCCACAGCAAGGTTGCTGCTCACAGCAGGAAGTTGGCTCCCCAAGAAGCTCCCAGCTGTGATTAAAACAATCCTCTTGTCATCCTGGCAGGGAAAAGATAAGGACCTGTCTGCAGTGCTGCAGCTCCAGCAAAGTCTGCTCACCTGCAGGGACAGGTGAGGCTGCTGCACTGAGGAAATACTGAATGTTTAGATTTGTGCAGATTTCCTTTCTTGACTCTCTGAGACAACTAAATCATGGGTGATTCACTTTTAGTTGATATATGCAGTAAAGATTTCCTAGGCAGCCTCCAGGCTGTGTTTAATCAGCTGAATGGAGTCTGTGCAATGTGGACAAATCGAGGCTTTTCTGCAATGCTGAAATCCCAAATGGCTGAGTAAGGTTTGTATTTTTATTTCTTCTGCTATTGTTTCCTTCACTGCCTTTCTTTGGAGCTCCCACAGCAATGAGAAACTCTCCAAGCTTGAATTTGATAATAACCTCATTCTAGACCTAACCTGACACCAAATGTCAGAAAATTGCCCTGAATATCTATTTGACTGAGTTTCTCATTTAGAGAACTGAAATTAAGAAAACTGTACAGAAAATGGGAATGTGGGCAACCCAGCTCCTGGAGAAAATCCTGGCAGCACAAACGAAAACCATGGAAAAAGGCAGCTGACCTGAGGAAATGGCTGATACAAACTTCGAGGGATTTAGGTGATGTTACAGACATTTTAAGCTACAAATTGTGCTGGGAACAGAGCACCTTAAATCAATAGTTTTGTTTAGTTTACCACTGGCAGCACAAAACCCAAGAGGAATTCAGAATAAACCAGAGAAAGTTCAGAATTCTCTTTCCAGCGGCGACTGAGAGCCCTAACTGGGGGATGCAGGTGAGGACTCCCAGCCTTTTCCCAGCTCTTTTTCCAGCATCACTGGATATCTCTCACCTCCATGAAGGTGCCTTCTGTCTTCCAGAGCTTGATGCAGATCCACAGCGGGATGCAGACCATGGAGGAGAGCGCCATCATCCACCCGATGCCGTAGCCCCAGTCAGGGTAGATGTACACGTTGTTGTATTTCAGGGGTTTGTATTTCACCAGGAAAAAGATGAAGATTCCCTGAAACAAGCAGAGATATTGTCAGAGGTATTTATGGGCAAACCCTGCACGTGTAACAAAGATTTGGCTGAGGGTTTAGGCCAGGCCAGGCTCTCTGAGGAGGAAAAGCAGAGGGAAGCTCTTTACTCAGAGAAAAAAAAACCCATCAGCAGCATCCTCTCTGCTGTACAGCTGAAATAACACATCTCAGAGGCTCCTGCAGAAACGAGCAACCTTTCAAGTTTAATCCTATTTACCACTTGGTGACAATAAACCCTGCACTTTGATGGCAAGCAGCACCTGGGCAGGAAAGATTAAGTCTTGCTACAGCTACAGTGAACCAGCTGTGATTAAGTAACATGAGCTGGGTTTTCTCCAACCTGTCAGGATGAAAAAGGAAGGCCAAAATTTTTGAAGTTACTTTAATCCACTGTGTGTACCTGCAGTTTTGCAGGCCAGTGCTTTCACCCTGCCAAAAACACTAAAAAAAAAAAATCTGTTTAAATTTCTAATCAGGCAGCTTGGACCATTTGGATGCATGAAATAGAGAAAAGCTACCGTGTCATTTTGTCCAACGTGGTGAAACGAGTGCACAAGAGCAAATGGTGGAGAGGTCATTTCAGAATTGGTGCAAATGAGTCAGAAATTTTGCTAAGTTTGCAAATGAGAGCCTGGATCTCGAGGTAGCCCAGCTCCTGTGGTTTGCAGCTGCCATCATTGGAGTATTACACAGCTGGAAGGGGTGTTGGCATCCAATCCTCAATTTTAAGGGCAATCAGATCATGTTGCTTTTGGAACTTTGTCCCTGTGACACTGCCACAGATCTGCAGAGCTGGCACAGCTTCCTTCCCCTCCCTCATGCCTGTGGGATGGACTCTTGGCCTCTCCTACTACTTTTAAAAATAAAATACATCTTTTCTCCTTTGGGAAATGTCCATACCCCAAAGAGAGAGGAGAAAGGAGGAGAAAGCAGCAGAGGACCCGGCACAAGTCTGGAGGAGCTCGAGCCATGTGCTGGCACACAAGGTGCACAAACCACAGGGAAAAACATCTCTCTCATTCTGGCAAATGTTCTTCTAGGGCCCTGGCATTATTTTTGTTCCTATGACTGTACATACTAAGATTTTTCACTATTTAACAACTTTTACAGATCCTACAGAATGTTTTTTTATTTTAAATACATGCTACAAATCAATAAGCTTTTTTCTCGACTATTAGCCACAGCAAAATTATTAAAAAACATGTAGAGAAACCCTTCTTTATACCTAAAAGAAGTTATTTGGACATTCTGTACTTACTGCACAAATACCTGGAGTTAGGACCATCCAGCACCATTTAATCAACGACACAGGTTTGTACCCAATCATGTCTTCAATGTTCTCATAAAAGCGATTGCTGCCTGCCCAAAAAGCAAAGGAAAAGCAGATGAAGAGTGCACATGGAAGGGGTTGTCCAGGTCAGGATTTAAAGCAGGGAAGAGAAAGCACAGACAGAGCTGGGAACACTGAAGCTGCTGCCTCTTTCCCTGGGAAACTCCTCCCTGCCATCTGCCCTGTGCTCATGGCAGGGATTGATATAAAATTCCTGCTGCTAGAAAACTTCTGGTGCTATCAAATATTTATTTCATACAGATCATTGCATCTCTTATCAGAGATGGAGATTTCATTAGTGTGCTACAAGCTGTCACAAAAATATTAACATTTCCTTTGGTCCTACTCTCCTTTTTCCTCCACACCTTAAGTTTTGCTTTCCTTCATAGCATGAATAAATCTAATATACTCTGCTTAGCTGATTTATTCTCTTTCTTGTAGAATGAGGTTGTAAACAACCCCAGTCCAAGAGTATCTACTTTATATATAAATATATTTAGATGCTATGAGCTCATGTGTGAAGCCAAGGATAGCTGCTCACATGTGATCTGCACTTCTGTGTTGTTTTACAAAGTGAAATTATCTTTGTGGAGAAAAAGGCATTCATGACTTTTTTTTGGGGGCATGGGAACGTGGAGGGTTCCATCCATAAGGGCACAAGGTTCTCACTTTGCCTTGATGCAAACAGGGAATTTAGATAAGAAAATAGAGCAATTTTTATCACTCACCGTACACCCAGCCTATGCAGACACACTCAAATATGGCAACAAAGAGCAGGCACATCCCACTGGCTGCATAGGAGTCAAAGAGCTGAAAGACATACATCCCACCCTGGAGGAGAAAATAGGAAAGGGAAAAAAAATATTGGGTTGGCACCCGTGGCAATATTTCATAGCAAATCTGTTTTAATTACATCGTCAAGCTGTTGGCTCCCTGGCAATCTTCCTACTCAAGTTGGTTCCTTCTTGAACAAAGATTTTTTTTTTTTTTTTAACTCTGCACTTCCTTTAGGGTGGTAAATCTGGAGTGAGGTAAATTTGGTTTTATTTGCAAAAATGCTGTCCCACCTCCCTGCTTTTCCTTCGGTTTGTTATCACATCGAGCTGAAGATATTCCCAGGTGTTTCTGACCTCCAGATCCTGGCTCTGTGTCTGTGTTATTAATATGTAAAATAATTAATTTTATTAAGGAGGTAAAATCTGTAGCTACCAAAATCCCTCTGTGACGGTGCAGGGACTGCAAAATGAATAAAGTGACCTAGAAAGTGGGAATTCAACTCACAGACTTTGAGCCACATGACTGAAACGAGTCTTTCTTATTTCTCACAAAGAAAAAGAAATAAGAATCATCCAATCAATAACATTATATAACATAAATAATTAAAATGATATGGATAATATTAAAATTTTTATGTGAGACAACCATTTATCACATCTGCATTTAATATTGAAATAAGGAGGAGGAGGAGGGGTTCACAAGTGAGCATTTTGATGAAAGGAGATTCTAAAGAAGGAAAGAAGGGCTTGAGATGAGCCCTCAGTTGGAATTTAATGTTTTTTGGGGAGCTCATGAGATCCATTACATCTCAGAAAACTTTCTGCAGATGGAAGAGAATCCTAAAAATAGGAAGAAACCTAAATTTCTACTGCAAAGTCATCATGGTGAGGCTCAGCAAATACCTGAGCAAAATGCAGATTTAGAAATCAACCAATACAGTAAAAGGTAAGGACAACAAAACTCCTGCAAGGATATTCCTGCAGTTTGAAGAACTTGTTTCCCCTTCACTCTTCAGATTTATATTTCTTTTAGCCTGTATATCTTGATAATAAGAGATAATCTTCTCAGTACTCTGCTCAACACAAGCTGTGTGGAGGGGTTATTCCAAGATTTCCCATTTTACATAGCCAAGATGATTTATTTCACTGAGAATAAGAATTACAGGTAAATATAAAGTATACAAGTATAAAAAAATCTGTTTGATGCATTTTTTCACACAGAGCATTGAATCTCCTATCAGAGAGGGAGATTTGATTAGTGTAATTAAATACTAATGGTCCACGTTCTAGATTATTCCAAATTGGAAAGGACACAAAAACTTTTGCTCAAAACCAAAGATGGTTTAATTTTCTCTTTTCACTACATTTCCTGAGCTCAGCCGATAAAACGAGGCCGCTTTTCCCATTTCAGACGTTACACAGGAGCTGACAACATTCTCTCGAGTATTTTGTTGTCACGTTCCTGACAGTGAAATTTGTCTGTGGCAAAGATTCATGTGCTTTATCTGTTGTGATTTCAAGCACAAACTCTTTTTCTCTGGGCCAGGCAGCTCTCACCTCAGTTAACATGATGAGGCCGAGGAAGTAGGACACGACGGAGAGGCCGAGGATGAGCAGCTCCCTCCTGTAGCCCCTGCGGAACACCTTGGGGTACATGTCCACCACGGCTGTCACGATGCTCTCCACACACACAAACTGCAACAGAGGACAGCAAAGATCCAGTGAAATCTGCTGCTGGGATTGGGATTTGCCACCTAACACTAAATTTCCTCCTGTGTTTTCATCTCAGAAGGTCGGTGATCCCCGGGGACGCCCCATAAGCAGAAACTCAAACTGAAAGGAGCATCTCCCAGTGGAAAAGTCCAAAGTTATGGATTTCCACCAAACCCAAACAGTTGGATTCTCTGATATCATCCCAGAATGCATTTGCCCTGTAGCAGGTGGATTAAATGAAAAGGAAACCTTTCAAATGTGGCTGGAATGGGAATTAAATAACGTAAAAAGCCTTCAATGGATCTCCAGGCACTTTTTCCAATTTTTCCATGCATCCTCCAACCTGCTACAGGAGCAGCAGGCTTTGGGGGAAGTTCTGTCCATGAAGAGAGAAGTTCCTCAGAGCTGTTGAGTGCCCAAGCCAGGAATTCTAACAAAGGAGGGCAGGAACATGTTCGGCATCTTTAAACATCAAAAAAAAAATCAAAAAGCCTGAGCTTCTGACTCAGGGCTCTGCAGCAAAGTTTCTAAAACAGGGCCCAAAATAGACATTGGAATAGTCAAGAGCAAAATCCAGGAACTGCTCACTTTAAAAAAAAAAAAAAAAATAAAAAAAATAAAGGCTTAAGAACCCGTTAGATCATTAAAAAGAGTGGTTATTAAAACATTAAGTTTAATGATTGGAAATGTCATGCAGAACAAGCACTGCTGAGCTTTAGAATCATAAATTTTCTGAACCCAGTCATGCCAAGGGCTGAGCTGCATGCTAAAACACCCAGGCACGTCACATTCCTCTTCAAGCAGCTTTTGCAATTTTTCCAGTCACACGGGGACAACGACTTTTGTGCTGCCCCTTTGCTGCAGGCTATGGCTGCACATTCCTTGCTATGGTATCTTGCAGTAAAAATACACCATGGGAAATTACATTATCACTATCTGATATTCAGCTTCAAAATTCAGTGCAAAGTGCTTTAAAAACAGGCTGGTATTTTACTGAAGTGTGGATTTTAATCAGCCCTGCTGAAGTTCAGACTGATTTCCGTGTTAATAATGAAAGCTGGAGTCGGGCTGAACCAGCCCTTGCAGTGAATCATGAAGGGATATCCAGCATCACAACTAAGATTTAAAATAGCAAAGAATTAAGTTAGGGTTCAGTCTTTCACCAGGCTGTGATTTCCACCTGTTGGGGAGGCTAAAGAAAATCACTGAAATGGGGTTTGTTCCCTACCTGACTGTCCAAGCCCAGGAAGATGAGCATCATGAAGAACAGAGCTGCCCACAGAGGAGACAGAGGCATCATGGTGACAGCTTTAGGGTAAGCAATGAATGCAAGTCCTGGTCCTGGAAAGGAATAAAGAAATGAAAAGTTTATGCTTGTGTGGGAGTTTGAGATGGAGCTCAGCTCCTCCAGAGCAGCCTGAGCTGTGGGAGAACAGCATTGCTGACACCAAAATGTGCCTCTGGCTGGGCAGGGCTCACTCAGCATCACTTATCAGGTGTTTTATCTGGACACACCCATTTTCTCACTTTTCCTCTCCTGCTCCCTTCCCCAGCCCACTGTGGAAACTGGGTGAGTGAGCAGAGTGTGGATGCTCAGCTGCTGCTCAGGGTCAGCCCACCACAACCTGATTCTTCTGTCATGGCACAGAAGAGGAACTAAACCTGAGACTGAACACCTTGACAAACTCTACCTCTCACAGTCTAACAGTTGGTGATGAGGCTTATCAGAAATGGCACAGCCCTGCCTGCATCCTGCCCAAAGGATGCTCAACTTCTGTTCAGACCTCCCAGTGCTTTATGTTCCCCATTTTTTCTGTGGATGTGCAGCACTGCAAACATCCCTGAATAAATCATAGCGGCTGCTCCTGTGATTGCCTTATATAATTTAGGAACATATCCTGGATTCTTTATTTTTCCCCTAACCTGGTGCAAGGCAAATGCTGGTTCCCATCCTGCTCTGTGGTTTTGGGTGCTGCTGTGTGACATTGGCTACATATTTAGAGAAATCTTCAAAATAGAACATTTTTGTAACAGCACTGATAACTTCTCAGATCTGCTAAGAAATCTTCTCACCTTTCTCATGTCTTTCTGGTTTTATTTTTCAGCTGTTTTTTATGAAGCCAGGCAGCTTTCAAAGCAGGGGCACAAAGGCCCTCTCCCAGGCAATAAAGAAGAACCCTGTGCTCCTGCTGCAATAATTTCAGTGTCACACACTGCTGCTTCTTTCTTCGTTTAAAACAGCATTTACAAGCTCCTATAATGAAGTGCAAGCCTGTTGTATTGAGGGATTTAGGAAAAGATAAATATTTTCCATGAGAGCATCAGTGAAACCTTGCTTGTGTTGCAGTTTTCCTGGGATTAGCTCCACAACAGTCATTTCTCCTCCTCAACAGCTCAGCATTGCACTGGGCTTTTTTTCTGGGCAGCCTCCTGTTCTTTTTCTTCTGCTTGAGGATGTTACAGCCACAAAGGTGTGGAGTAACTTCCATTGGATGCCCAGCTCCAATGGTGTTTGTGGATGGTTCATTTTTCATAAATCTGAGCCTGTGTGCCTGCCTGGTTTCTCATTTTAACAGCTGCAGCTTTTTTCCTTTAATATCCTTTCTAATTTATTTTTGTTTTTTCCAGAAGGAACAAATATTTGTGGATTTCAGTCTGTCTCATTGAAAGAAGGTGGGATGCAGGTGAGGATCAACACTCACAACTCAATTTATCTGCTAAACAACATTCTGGAGGCTCAGCTGGAGTAAATTTGTGTTGCAGGGGCTCTTTGAATTCATATACTTGCTTCTATGCACAGCAGCATTGATAATTTTCACACACAAATGCATGGCCACAAAAATAGTTCAGAACTCTTCCTGCAGCAGTTGTTCCATTGAGTCATGCCATCCACAGGCCATGGCACAGACTGTGAACTCTGCCCACATCATCTGGGCATTTTTTGTTAACTCAGAAATCTGCTTTTGGAACTTACCCGATTCTGCAACTTCTGCAATGGGCACGCCTTGTTCATAAGCCATAAATCCAAGAACTGAAAAGATAGCAAAACCAGCAACAAAGCTTGTGCCACTGTTCAAGCAGCAGAGCATGATGCAGTCTCTGAAAATATAAATAAAAAACACTGCAGTTGATCTCCAGAGCTGGGCTTTCTTTCATCTGCTGAGCCAGAGGATTGACAGAACCCTGGGCTGCAGGAATGGAGAGCAAATTTTTCATTAGCATTAAGGTCCCAACTCATTATTAATTATTCCTGAGAGCCACCAGGAGTTAGCACGTGCAGGAGGACAACAGCAGAATATCCTTGCTTGTCTTTTAACTGCTGGAGTTGCAAAGCTGGTGCAAGTCACTTGCTGTTTTCCAATAAAATCTTTAAAAAACATGTAAAACTATGTAAAGCACGTAATAATCATTAAGAACAATTTCTTCATAATAATTATACTATTATATATAATACATATATATATATACACACACATATATGTATATATATGCATATAATGTATAATATTATATACATATATATGTGTATAATTATATATGTGCTAATAGATTCCAGATGATATGAACTCATTAATAAACACTATAAAAATGGTAACATTTTTTTTCCTGGGGGAAGAAAAGAAAATAAATCCTGTTGTCGCATCTTAGCTCCTTCTATCCCTGTTAGAGAACACTGCTAAAATATATCCATGCAAAATACAGCTGCAGTTTGGTTTCTAGCCATGTTTGAGAGGCTGTGGAAATGAAAAGCACTGTACATAATCTGGAAGTGTGTGCATGACTAAAAAAGTGTCTGAAAAGAGGCCAAGGCAGTGCAGGGACAGAGATCTCTCAGGCAGACACATCCCACACCTAAACCACGGCAAGGACAAGGCCAAGGTGAAGAAAGATTTCTTTTCCCAGACTGGAAATGCCAAAAGAGAAAACCAGTTTAAAGAAAGGGAAGGTCCTCTTGCAGCAAGGTGTGATTTCCCCCAGAGCCCAGGGAAATATTGCTGTTCCTGCTGCTCTGACAGCTCTCCAGGCGTGACGGATGATGAGGCACTGATGGTTTATGCTGACAGTCACAGAGACAGCTGTGTACTTGAGAAAGCAAGAATCTAACCCAGATGTTTGAGGTAAATTAGGGTTCTAACCCACTGAAACACAAGGCAAGCCTGGAGCTGCCTGGAGCCCATCCCTTAATCTGCTTTATCCCCATCTCACTGTGGCTCTGAAGCAAATTTTCGTGCAAGCTACCAATAAGAAGAAAGGACCCTGTAAAATCCAGCAGGTTCTGAATTCACAGCTTCAATAATTCAGTAAAGGATCACATCTTTGTCACAGATTTGTGAGACAATTCCTACTTCAAAGTCTTGGCAATTATTCCCTCAAAATTTCTCTGCTAATCTCCCTGCTTTGCTGTTTAATACTTTTATCCTGTGACGTCATCTCATCAGTTTTTGGAGCTCAAAGTGAGGTGAGCAGTTGCAGCATCTTGTTCCTTCACTGATGAGCCCTGCAGTGTCTCCCCCAGGTGTCCAAAGCTCTTCTGCCACCCCTGGGACTCACTGAGCACATTCCCCTGGCAGGGAGCATCCTGACATTCCTCAGCTGCAAAACCCAGGCTCAGCTCAGCCTCTGGGCCATGGAGGCCTTTGGCTCCCTCTCATCCCCTCAGCTTAATTTCAAATATTATTTTGGGAAGGTTTTATGTTATCACAATTGCAGAGTAAAAATCATCTCTGTGATTGACATGACAACATCTATGAATTCCTAAGATGTGCCCAGCTATGAAAAATTAATATTCCCATTTGTAGTGGAGACTCAGACATGGACAAGTGCAGTGATGTCCACACTTCTTCCATGCCTGGACTCTCTCTAGCACTGTTCATTTGCAGTGAAATACTTGCTGAAAATATAAATTAAAACTTTTATTTATTTGCTTCTCATATTAAATTATCCCAGCCCAGGCCAGTTCCACACTTTGGACATCTTAAAGCAAAATGGCAATCCAAAATAAAGGACTGAGGAGCACAGAGGACTTTGTGCTTTGCAGAGATACAAAAAAATGAAATATCAGCCCCTTCCTGACCTTCCCAGTGAATTTCAGCTCTAAAGAGCTCTGGGGGGACTCTCACCCCATCTCTCTCACCTCAGGAAGTGGTGAGTCAATACTGAGAAATTAAAATGGAGTGTGATGAAACCCTGTCGGTAAGAGAGGTCACAAAGATGAATTTTCCAGTCCTCTGGGGGAAAAAGAGAGATCCTGCAGGGGGTGGGGGATGCAGCCAGATGATGCCTCCACTGGGCACAGGCTGGTCTCTTCAGGTAACATTTGGTTTAGATAATTGCCTGCTTCAAATGCAGTCTGAAGAAGATGTTTCCTTCTGAGGAATGCTGTGGCACAGGATATTTGAGAGCTGCTGGCTCCTGAGGGGGAGATAAGGGCTGGAGCCCCTGGCAGGGACAGAGCCCAGCTGGAGAATCCCACAGAACAGGAGGATCTCCTCTCTCAGGGAAGCCTGGCAAACCACAGCACCAGACCATCTGCAGCATAAGTACACATTTCTCCAAGGGAAGGGGAAAAGGGGGATTTTCACCCCCTCCAGCCACTGAGGTTCCTGTTCTTTTCAGATAACACCACCCCAGCTGAATCCTTTCACACCCAGGGAGGCAGTCAGAGACTGAACACAGCTTCTCTGAGGGCCCTCATGAAAATATAACCTCCAATTTCCCTTCCCTTGGCCTTGCAGGAATTCTACCAAACCCCCAGCTCCTGGTTTTTATCCTACAGGCAGAAATAACCTGTAGCTCAGGGGGGTTTTTTCTGCTATGGGAAGAGAAACTGGAAAGTGGATCTGGATCTATTGATCGTGAAACCAATGAGTTTTAAAACACAAGTGCTCAGGAACATCGAAAGGACAACGTGAATTTTTTATGTGCACCCTTGGCAGGAGGACATCAGAGCCTGACTGAAGCCCAGACTGATTTCAAGTGAAAGGAAAACTTCAAATTTTTATGAAAACTTCGCATTCTTCCAAATTAAACTCCTGCCAATCACGTGAATAATTCAAGATGTGCATCACTTCTCTCCCTGCCTGACAGGCAGGACACTTCTGAAGGTTCATGCTGCCTTCCTTGAGGAGCTTCTCTGAGCCCACAGAGCCCCTGGCATCCCTCCAGGTCCTTCCCTGCCTTTATGGATTCCTCAAGACCCAATTGAGAAATGCCCATTCCTCTTCTCCTCCTAGACTAGAAACTTGGCAAAGGACAAATCTTCAGGTCTTGAAAGTTCTGTCCACGTGTGAAATCACTCCTTTATCTCCTGCTCCACAGTGGGAACAGGAGAGCTGACTCTGAACTTGTACCTGGGAATGGATTTGGGATTCTGAGCTGGATAAAAACCCCAGGAAACATCAGTACACCTGTGTGTTATCCCTGTGGGGAAACACTGCCTGCTGCTGGCACTGCCAGGGCTTCCAGCTTCTCAGAGGAGTCACTTGGGACTCAAACTCAGGACATCCAGGGAGGAGCTGCTTTTGTTTTCCAATGAAAGATACATAAGGATGATAAAAAATTCATTTCCTATTCAAGGACATGAAGTGACTTTTGCAATTCATTTACCACATTAATGAATTAAATCAGGTTTAAATCTTAAATTCACCAGGCCCACGTGCATCTCAGACTTTCCCATTTCCCACTGAAATACCTCTTGCCATTAATTTCAACCACAATTTTCCCTTAGGGAATAAAAATTGGAGTAAAACAGAGCAGAAGATGTCGATGTTATGATCAGACTGTGGGGATTGCAGGAGGAAAACCCCCCAGCTTGATTTAATTTTTTTAAAAGTGCTGGTTAGAATATAAAATTGTGGTTTTCACATCAGAGCTCTGCCCAGCTTTGCCACATTCTGCACTCCACTGCTGTCCTGCCCCTTCCCTCAGACTTGTTAAAAATCACACCTCAGGACACAGTGATGACTGGGAAATTTGGGAAACATTTTGTGAGGGGAATTGTGGAGCTTGGATGGAGTAAAAGGTGTTTGGCTGCAGCCTCCTGCTCAGCACCTTCAGAGCAGAGTTTCACCAGCTGAGCTCTGGGTCAGGGGGAAGGGAAAAAGAAATCCATAAATGCAAACTCCTGTTTTTTGTAGTGGGCTACAAAACCTCAGGAAAAGCATTCCTGGGCTCCTTGTGGCACTGACAGCTTCTAGCTGGGATACAGCTGGGAAGAAATAGAAATAAAACTGAAGGGAGGAAAGAAGGGGAGGCTTTGCTAAAGAGTCACCTGTGCTAATTAGGGGAAAGGCTCATTACCAGCAGCTCTGAAGGCTGTAGGGGACTCACACCACCTTCTGCAGCAAAACATTTTGTCTTGCTAAGACATGGAAAGAAGGAGCATTTCCTCAAACTGCCTCCTGAACTCTCCAAGTAAAACTGTAATTTAGAATTTAAATAAACTTTGGGGGTTTGGGGTTGTTTGTTTTGGATATTCTTTCGCTTTTGGATTGTGTTATTTCCTTTAGAGGAAAATGAAACTTTAATTCTCTGTCTGGAGATTTAATGGAGTCACTACAACCAAACTGTCCTTGTAGGAATTTTAGGGAAATGAATTCAATAACTGTGGATTCCAGAAGAAAAGAGTAGGGTTCATATGCCAGTAATGTGGAAAGGGGGTTTTGTGCAAATCATATCTCTCCTATCCCATTGACTCAGGAGAGATTAGAACCTCCTGAAGTCATTGGCAATTCCCTCCTTGGGGATATGGAGATAAGCCATGAAATGCTGCCCATTCCCTCTGGGTTGGGGCCTGCAAACTTCCCCAAAAAATGGGGAGAAGTGGCAGTCAGAGCACACACCAAACTGGGGTGATGTGTAATAAAAATTGTTGGTAGTACTTTTTAAAAAGCAGCTTAAGTAATGCACATACATTCAATTATACCAGTCTGAAATCCTGTATTTTTCCATGCAGTTCTGTGTGTACTGAGGGGTTGTGGAAGGCTCAGATTTGACCAAAAGGGATGAAAACACCACATTTTGGAGCAGACTTCCTCTGAAGCAGTTCCAAGAAACATTACACATCTCTGTCCCACTAAAACACCTGTGTGTGCTTCTGGTTATCCATGGGAAAAGGGAAAAAGGGAAGTGATTCCAAATTTCACCCCAAGAGCAGAATTGCAGCGTGGAAGGAGTTACCTGTAGCAGTTGTTGTTGTAGTTGTTGTAACTCCCCAGGGCTGTCAGGCACCCCAAGCAGATGGCGTAGGAGAAAAAGATCTGTGTGCCAGCATCCACCCACACCTGGAGACAGAGAACAGGGAGAGCTCAGGAAACCAGCCAGGAGAAATCACCCTCCTGCAAAATATTGGCTGCAAACCTGCATAGAGGAAGCTCTGCAGGTTAAGAGGGTCTGGCAAAGCTTATCCAAATCACAACCTTTAAAAAAAAATCTTGCTGAGAGGGAAATTCCCCTCCCCATCCCAGCTGGTCTTTACAGGCTCAGCCTAATGTAGAAAGGGAGACAGAATTCCCAGAGAAGAACCTCACCCATTAAATTCATTAATTGCTGCTGTATAGTTTTGCTAATTGCAGCCTAAATAGAATCACCTGCATTTATCTCACTCCCACTGGACAGTTGCTTATTCAAATTTAAAAATTTAGTGTGAATAAATGCTCTAAAGACAAAATGTGCCATTCCTTGATAGTACATAAATTAAGCTGGGGAAAGGAGGGATAACTTATCCAGGGAAAGGATGTTTTTAGCAAAATTTAATGGATCCAACAGGCACAAATTACAGTTCTGGTCACTGTACAATCAACAAGTTTGGTAGAGTTTAACGAGTCAGTAGCTTTATAATGTCATTGTGGGAACATTTATATCCTAAAGTGATGCAAATGATTTTAAATCAGAGGAAAGGAGAAGGAAGCATGAATTGACACAGCGAGATTCATCTCCTCAGAGCAACCTCAGAACATTAATGAGCAGGTTCCTTTTCCTTTAAAGCAATTTATTTCACTTGACCAGCGTGGGTGTGTTCCCACTGGAGCTGAAGGTACCCCTCGATGTCCTGGTTTTAACCTGAGGATGATGTGGAGTACCCACATACAGCTGCAATCCAGTAAAATCCTGCTCCTGTTTTCCTGGGATAAATGATCTCTTGAAGTCCTTTGTTAAAGCAGAGCGAACACCAAACCCCGAGTGATAATCAGAGGCAGTGACTGTGCAGCCATTCCCTGCTGGAGCTGGAGCCAGGGAAGAGAATAATCTCAGGACTAATAACAGCCATCAAATCCTCCTAAACACGCAAGGGGGATGTGTTTGTTTTACATCTGATCAAGTGAGACCTTGCTCTCTGGAGCTGTTGAGTGTTTCTCTTTAGAAATAACATTAGGATCACATTTGATTTACATCAGAGCCTTAGAGGGTTTCGTTGCTGTCACCCCGAATAAGACACAGCTGGTTACATCCCAGAGCTTCAGCACTGCTGAGGAAAGGCTGCACACAGAGAGGTTTTTGACAGACAGGCTCTTTAACGAGACTGGAAGCTCCCAAAAAGCTGTGAGGAGCGTGGCTCAGCTGAGAACACCCCGTCTGCTGGGGGCCCAACAAAAGCTGGGAAACTGGATCAGTGCACGGATCCTTCCCTTCCCAGCCTCCCAGAGCTGCAGGGAACCCAGAGGAGCAGCTGCCCTTCCTGCTGGCCACAGCTCTGATCATCCCTGGAACGCCAGTGCTGCTGGAAGTGGGAGCTGTGCTGGAAGGGAGCAGCTCCAGAGCTGCTGGAGCCCAGCTGTGACATCAGTCTAGAAATTCCCTCAGAACTTAGGGCTGATGTTTAGATAGGAATGGAGAAGCAATTTTATTTGCTGAATGGAATAATCCAATCTGTATTATATATGGAATTATACAATCTGTATAGCTTCTTTTGGGATGTATAATCAGAGCACAAGTGACATTTAATTTGTCCGGGTTTCTAAAATGGCAAAAAGCAATCAGCAAAGTGGCAAACAGGAACACAAATTTAGAAAACCCAGGTAGATTTTCTGTGGCTGAAAAAATGCCAGAGCTGGACTAACCCTGGTGTATCCTGCCAGCCATGCCAACACTTTAAAGCCTTGAAGGTGACATTTCAGCTCATTTTCCATCTCCTCACCCCAACAAGCTGGGTCCATCTGCCATTTAGCCTCAGACTGCAGCACTCAGTTCATAGCTGGAGAATTTGGGGAAGTCTCAAATTGTTCATTAGTCAGTGTCACCTCAATTTGGTCACTCACAAAGGGCACTCAGGGGAAGGTGTTCCCATTCCAGCTTGTAAAGGGCACAGGTGGGCTCCTGTAGACACCAATCCCAAATCCAGGTGCCACCCACACGGCTCACGGCCACAAAACCACTCTGGGATTATTTCTGAGAGTGCTGAGCCTGGCTTCAAGCAGAAGCTGTTCCCCTTTCCGTGCAGAACGATGACATTCTGAAGAGCAGGGACACCTGGGGCAGCAGCTGGGACTAAAGAGGACATTTGTCTGAAAGGTGACACATCTCAACACTTTTCTGCCATGAGGGAAGTCCAGAGGACAGGACCTGCACCACAGAGCACCCTGTTGGTGCTTTATGAACTTTGGGCCTTGAAAACCCTTAGGTCAGTGATAATTAATTCAATTTAGCACTCACAGACTTGGGATTGGAACTGTTTTATAGTTTCTGTCAGCTCCTCCTTTAAAGGATGGAACCAGATTTTTTCTCTTTTTTCACCTCATAGAAAACGTTGCCATGCTGAAACAAGATTAAAATTAAAGCACAAAACATTGAAAACTAACCCTAATATTTGAAAAATCACATTTTTTCAAAGGACAGAACCTTATAAAACAGCAAAAGGAGCATTTTCTATTAAAAATGGAAAGTGCTGCTTTGCAACACCCAGCACTCAAGCCTGGCAACGCCCCCGTTTTAGGTCTGTCTGGGTAACCTCAATTTGGCCTTCTTGAGGCAGGTCTGGGACACAATCCCCATTCCCATGAGTGTTTTCTCAGCCCAGAGAGATGAATTGAGCTGGCCAAGCACAGGATGCTGCTGTCTGGAGGATGCCTTGCCTCCTTTGTAGCTCATGCAGTGAAAGCAGGATAAGGAAGAAAGAAGAGGGATGTGCTGTAGTGCAGACAACAGAACCCTGCTCTGGAGAATTAGGTTCTTTTCATGTCCCTGCCATAAAGTTTCTATGGGATGTTATGTCCATAAATCACTTCAAGCAGCCTTTTCTCACATGTTCCTTGACTTGGCTATTCCCTAATAAGTGTCCAAAGCGACAGACAAAGTTACTGAGCACTCACTGCCGCAGATAAAGTGAATTAAAGTCACTTCTTGAACAACTGAAAAAAAAACCCACTCTAACAAACCAACTTCAAATTGAAAATCCCCAGAAGAGTGACAGCCCCTTGTTTTAGTTTCATTATAAATGTCTTTCTGTAAGTAAGATGGGGTCATGCCATAGACTGAAAATAAAACAAATGAGGTGTCTGAAGCACATGGCCAGTGCAGAAATAAGTCTCTTGGCAAGGCTGAGTTATTTATTTTTGTGATGATCAAGCCTTATGCAGTGAATTTAGAGGGCCAAGCAAGAAGGGATAAAACAAAATATTGCATAACTGTCCTGAGATGAGCTCTGAACAAAGCAGAGACCTCGGGGACAACCTGTGATGTGCTGATGTTGATTATTTCCATCATGCATGGAATAAAAAACAACAGTGCACACCTGTAGGAATATCTCAAATTCCAGGGGTTTCTCTAACTTTGTACCTTCCCTGTACTTTCTGTGCTCTCTGGATCTCTTTTGAACAAGCTACAGTGCAGCTGTTATGAAATCTTTCTGTGGATGCAGGAAGCATCTCCCAGGACACTCTGACTTTAACTGGAACTTCCTCCAAGACTGAATAACTCAAACATTTTTTGTAGCTGTGTAAAAAAACCCCACAACATGGTGTAAAATTGTTCCATGTCTGGGCAGCACAGGAAAATCAGGCAGCTATTTTCACTCTGATCCTTCCAAAAGATAGGCAGGGCTTTTTAAAAAAAAGAAAAACATATTCTGTTGGCAGCTGAGGAGGTTCATTTTACAGCCCAGGGGCTGATGAGCAGTGCCCATCGTGTGGGTAAAGCAGCACACACGTCCCTCCTTCCCTCTTGGCAGCATTCTAAATCCCATTTCACAGGTTTCTCAGGGAAATAAAATGAATATATTGGTTTTCTGTCTGTCCCTGGCCTTTCCTACAGCTGTGTTTGCTTCCTCGAGAACTCCTGTCAAAATCAAAGGCATTAATTTGAGATTGAAGCCCAAGCACTTGCTGGAATTTGCATCCCAGGGGTTTGGCATCATAAATATCCACTTTTTTTTTTCTCATTCTTAAGGGTGAGGTTGAGCACCAAAGCTCAAACATCCTTAATTCCAGAGTGCTAATGACAATCCCATCATTGAGAATATGGGAGACCAGTTATGACCTGTGCTTGCTCTTTAAAACATGATGTTCCAAACGTTGACAGCCATTTATTTCCCATTTTGTTATCAGAGAACGAGCAATCACTCCAGGTTTTCTTTTAATTTAAATTATTCATTACTTATTGATGAATCTCAGCAGTGTTTGTATTTTAAAAAGCAGTTTGCCTTCGGTTTCAAATGAGAATTTTAAAAATAAAGCCGTGGCTGTCGGGAGATAATAAATGAAATTTCAAGGTTAGAGCATAGAATAACTGCAGAATTTTATCACAAATGCCTGAATAAAATGAGCTGTTGCCAGATAAGTTTAGGTGTGACAGGAGTGTAGGAAACCTCAAAATGTGAGGTCTTGACCTTGAGGTAACACCTGCTAATTTCTGACATTGACTATAGGAAACCCCCAAAATAAATGCTAAGAAAATAAATAGGATTAAAAAAAAATGCAGTTTCTAATAGGTTTGGGAAGAAGTCAAAGTCCCAATTTCATCCTGTGCTTTCATCTCCAGTATCCTGGGAAGTTCTTTCCCGTCAGTGGATCATTCAAGCTGCTTTTCAGCTGGAACACCTGACTGGGGGGAGCTGGGATTGAAAACCAGGGGGAATTTCTGTTTTCACCCCACAGAAAACATGAGGTGCTCGTGCTGTGACCCTTCCCAAAAATTCAGAGGAACAGATCCCACCAGGGTGTTCTGACCTTGCTGAAGTTCCCCACACAGGGAGCTTTAATATTTTCTATTTACAGCACTCCTTCTTCCAGTCTTAGATCCCAGGTCTCTCTAATAAAGGGCAATTTTATCCCCCACACGAACTTTTGGT